ATTTTAAAAATTACCGCCAAACTATTTCTCGACTAAAAGAGATATTCGACTCAACACTTTCAACGTGTCTTTTTACGACCTTTTTCCATCAGACGTAACTTCATCATGTTAAATTGTGAAAATAAACATTAATAATGTCTAATGTTTTAAATTACAAACATTAATAACGCATAATCGATGTTGAGAAAAGGACTGCGGGACTGAAATTGGACTGGGCTGGACACGTCTGTCGCATACACCTATAGAGATGGGCTCTCACAGCCATCTGGTGGGTGCCGGAGAACGGCTAGCGACGACGAGGCAGACCAAAAAGGAGATGGCGGGACGACTTGGACGCATATGTAAAGGACTGGCCTAACATTGCGTCAAACAGGGAACTGTGGAAGTCAAGAGGACTTTGCCCAGCAGTGGGACACAGTACCTAAGCTAATTTAAAAAAATGTCTTAGTGCAATTAACTCGAAACTAATAAATACGTAAATAATGTGTGAAATATTTATTGTTTTGGCGTATGTATTTAAAAAAAAAATATAATTAGCAGGACAATGCTAATAGAAAATAACGTCGTTCTATATTTGTTGAACTAATTGTAATCAAGCTAAATTGTATGGAATATAATTAAAAATAATTAATAACAATACAATCTAAAGTGATTAAATCTTTACTAACAATCCACAACACTAAATAGTTTAACAATCTTATTTTACAGTCACTTACACTCGCAATCTCACGAATGAATACAAAATGTCATAGCTTTTTATTTAGCCACACGCATTTCATAACTTTGTCACTGTAATCTCAGGTATACGACTAAATTTAAATGTTCCTTGATAGCTCAAGGCAATAATTTCTAAGCTTGATACTAAAATCGGTAGCTTAATACTTATGACGTTTGACTAGTTGAATTGAAGACAGCCAGAGATAACAGCAAAACAGCGAAGAGAACTATTGCCATCTCTTTCGCACTAGCACAAATTGAGTTATTTTTTGCGTTGTCTCTCTCTTCAACCAATGACGCATACAGTTGATCGAGTGCACTCGTGCGCCGTGTGCGCGTTTGCAATTTATTTGTCAAATAATTGCAAAATCAAGTGTTAAATTCCAGAAAAAGGCCCTATAACAGATTTCAGTGTTCATTTTTTATTTTAAGTGATATTAATTCAGTGGATTGCAGTGAAACTGTTAAGTGCGAGAAAAGACCATACGAAAACAGTTTTTTTGCAAGCTTTTTGAGGACTTCATATTAATATACAGTGAGGTGAGTGGCGTGCTACATTCTCTTTTTAAAAAAACCTTGTTAGCATTTTAACACAAAACAGACTAGATCTCGGTTGTTGCCCACTATTAAATCGCGACAGGCAAAGGGGATCTTCCAAAATTCTGGTGTTTATATTTTATGTAAACATGTTAAATGTGTTGGTAATATCTTGGAATTGCGTTAGAAGTTGTTCTTTGTCAGTATGTTAGGTACTTTTTGTTATCTTAATAACAGGATTTAAGCAATACAATGTGTGATTATGTGGTGATTGTATATTTCTAATCAAGAGGCAGAATATTGCGAAATCAAAGTATTTATAGTACCTACTACTTTCACAAATGCAAAATGAATCATTTCAGAAACCTAATGTTTATGTGTACATGTCTTAAGAAAAAAAAACACTAAATAAGTCAAACATAAATAAATTTTTTTTATCTTTTAATAACTTGAGTAGCTCTGTAGCTTGATTTAAAACTTGTTTACGTTTGTTTCTTGTAGTGGTCATAGTTTCAGATAATTTTTGTAAACACAAAGCAACAGTTTATTAGTTAGTTCTGTATATTTATACAAAAACTTTTATGTTAAGTGAACCATAGACAAATATTGAAAACAACATTGAAAAGACAAAAATACAAAATAGTAACATAACTTGACAAGAGCAACAAGTGGGTTAGGTTAGGCAATTGAGGGTGGGATTCGCCCTGGGCCTTTTGAGGGAAAAGCGTCGTTTTTATTTTGACTTTCAGTTATTTTGTAAAATCTAGTTTAAAGTGGAAAAGGATTGTGCTATTGTGTCTTAATCGAAGATTAAAACGTGAAATTATACGAATCTCGAACTAAAATACTGGCCTGTTCTAAGGAATCCTGAGTCAATCGAAGCATGCCGCCTCAAATTGCCTGTCCTCTTTGCAGAAACATAATTAAACGAAGACATGACTCAAAGCACTTGTATCCAAGCCAAAATTATTAATAAAACAGCAGTTGAGGGTTGTCAACTAACAGAAGACCCATGCTCACCAATTGGAGTTATTCAAACTGAGTTCCTGGAAGAACTTAGTAGCACCCTGCATCCACAACATGTCACCATGAGTTACATAAACGCATTTGTTATATAATATTTGTTATATGTATATTAGTTGCTTGATGTAGGTATAGTGTATATGCATATTAATTATTATAATGTATTTTCATAGTTATACATACGTTATTTGGAAGTATTTAAACATACACAACACACACACACATCTGTGACAGTTTAATATGTACATATATATAATTATTTTATTGTTATATTCAAGTACCTAAGTAGCTTGCATATGTTGTTCTGTGACCTCACTTAGGGTCTTAACTGAAAATCAGTGCTGGGAATGCGTTGCGTTTTCCAGCAAATACTGAGTTTGTGACCCTTTTGTTACCGCGGCTGGCACCACACAAAGTATCTCAATATTTAGTGTTCTTTTTATTATTTGTGTGTATAGTTACTGCTTTAATTTTATCAAATTTTTGTATATACATTTTTCTTTTTGTGTTTGTCTGTATTTTTGTTTCGTAATTCTTTATTTATGTTTTACATTGAATATTTTGATCGTGTTTTGTTTTCGTTCTGTTTTGTTCCATTTCCTCTTTTTTTTTTGTCTTTTGTGGTGTCATTGTGGTAAACAAATAAATGTATTTTCTTTCTTTCTTTCTTTCTTTCTAAAGTAGCCCACTCTACTTTACCTAACACTGTGATGTTACCTAACCTGTATTTAATAAAATACTATTACCACTTTCAAAGCACGAGCATACCAAATTGGCTATTGACTTTGTGTTTTTTGCTCAGTGTTGCCATATATAAAGTGTTTTAATTCAGTCACAGTATTAAATATACTGAAGACTTTGGTGAGCAACTTTGGCACCCTAGAGCATTATAGTAGAATACTCACACCATTTACTCCCTGTCTATGCACACTCTTGGGGATGCTTGACTAGCCTGCCTACAAACTGTTTTTTTTTATGACATCAAGTGACAGTGCGCCTGATGGTAAGCTACACCCCTGTCCATAACAGTTGCAGTGCCACTCAGAGCTTTAAATCCATTGACTTACAAATAAATGGACGACGGGTCTAATACAAAAACCACGAAAAAAATGTCCCAAGTCAACCTATTTAAATGTAGTGACATGTAAAGGAATATGAAAAAGCTAAAATGTTGAATTTAAATTGTAATGTCATCGCAGTACTGTCTAATTTTGCTTGCTTCGCTGTCAGTCGAACAAACGAAGACTAAAGCGTGAATGACGCTCTGTATAGGATTTTAACGCCCTATAAGTTCGGACACTTTTTAGCGCGGACCCGACGTCCATATGATTGTAAGTCAATGTTTAAATCACAAAGATCTGAGGGGTACTGCCACTACACCTGTCACACTGAGGCATAAGTTGACAAGTTCCATGTGCCAATTTCACCAGCACCTTCACCCTTCAAAACCGGAACACTGTAACCCTCACATTACTGCTTGGCGGTAGAAATAAGAGGTAAGGTGGAAGTACTTCCCTGGACAAACTCTTTCAAAAGGAGCTCTACTGCTGTGAAACCGAGTCCAGGTGTTGTTATCAGAAGTTTTTGTACCTTTGCATATAGTTGCTCATGACCATTGGTAAGGGAGGCACACTACAAGTTCTGTAGCTCTAACACGTTAAAAAAAAAAAAAAAAAAAGGCGCAATTTGTGAGAGAGTGACATAAAGTGCGAGATACTGGTATCCTCGCATAGAAAATACCAATATCTGGCGCTTGTATGTCGCGCAAATCGCGGACTGTCATGTAGCCCTACTGATCCTTCAGTATCTTTTCTGGCCAGTTCATCTGCTTCTCATGTTGTGTCAGAAACACAAAGTTAGAGTGCTGAACAAAGATACTTCACGATTATTCCACTGGCAAGAATGCTCTTCAATAAGATAAACAAGAAGTTGCTTAATTAATAAAAAAAATTAAAATAAATTTCAGTTAAAGAATTCACAATTACGTTCATATTTGTTTATCTATTCATAATTCTGCAAAACTGTTACCAACAAAACTAATTTTATTAGAATAGAACAGGGTAACCATTTAACATGACAATATTTTTTTATTTGCTTGTACCCCTTAGTTCTTTTGAGACAATTAATATGATTTCAATTACAATGTTGCCATTTATACTATTTACTATTACCATTTTTTGTAGTAACAGAAATATTTTAAATATTTATATGTCAACCTTCAAATTTGGTCCCAGAAGTTATCGACACAAGTTGTTAAGTTACAACACACACATTTTTATTTTATTAAATTTCCCATAAGTATTCCATCATTGGGCTTGTTATTTGCTTACAGCTTGTTTTCGACAATGGTAGGACATGTTAATTACAAAATTAAATGTCAACACTGGTTTCTCCCAACACCAGTCTGCTTCATTTCCAGTTTAGTTAGCGCACTCGGCTCACAGGGGAAACTGCGAGCTACGCGTTTTTCAAAGCAGGTTAAAGACTCAACTTTCCTGCTAAGGTTTTACCATATTGCAAACAAAAACCTGTTTCACCAGTTCTGCTTATTCAAAGTACTTGTAAAACCATGTCAGTATTTAAATGTCAAATGCAATTCAAATAATATAATAATATCTTTATTTCATACATATGAAACACGCATAGCAACACTTGAAATTATTAAACTCTACTATGAGGTTTAAACGTGTGACAAAGCTTTGAAAGTTTTTCTTCACTCAGCCAGGTACTTTCACAAGCCTGGTTGACAAGAGATGGCGCTTTATTAATTGCAATGTTTATTTTATTGAATATCATAATGTTTTTATTATTGATACAAAGATAAGTTTAATTAAAGTCAGAGTTTAATCAATTGACAATTTCAAGTGTAATGTGCTTACCTATGAAATAAAGATTATTTTCACTTCTCATGCATGCAAGTTCGTATTTATGCTAGATGTAGGCGGCATAAAATAGTATTTTATGCTCTAGTGCATACAGTAAAATCTTTTAGGACCAAGGCAATCAGGCGCCAACAGCCACAAACTAGAACTTTATAAAATAAAGTTTTAGTTTTCTATCCGTGTTGCATTACAAAATTAATAAAAGTAAACAGTAGTAATATGAATACATTTTATGAAATAGAAATCCATAAAAAATAAAAGGTTGTAAAATATAACTGAGCATTATGTAGTCCGACCTGGGCTAAGTGTCACATGTACATAAAAAAAAGAAAAAAGTAAACATTTATTTGCAATATTTATATTTAATTTCCTCACAATTGAAAGTAAAATTAAATGTATTGTGCAACTAATAGAAACTTTGCCAGGGGCTTTATGTTAATTCCTAAACTATGGATAAGTATCAATGGTAAACACTCAATATTATCTGCCTGTCTAGCTCATTCCCAATAGGTATACACTGTCACGTCTGTCCACGGTAATACGGTACTGATACTCTTTGACAAAATTCGACACTAGAACGAAACACTCACTATTGATAGTGTTTTGCTAGGAACATGTAATTGCATGAAGTTGTTGTATATTACACAAATAATCTCAGTACAGAGTATTAAAAAAACCGACCTCAAAAGTACGTGGAATTACGTCTATTTGCTAAGTTTTATTGAAATATCTTTAAATTCGCCACTATACAGGACTTGACACTGGAGATAATAAAAATCGGTTCTCACTACTCAAATTATATGGAGAGAAAAACGCCATGAATTGGAGAAATAGCAAAATCAACCATTAAAATAATAGCTGCTTAGTAAAATTTAGGCGCTATTTATAAAAATGAATTTTCATGCGTGAACAGCCACCCTTAGAGGTGGATGATTTTCTTCAAAATGAAATGGGACCACTATGGAAGACCCCTTTCCAACAAAAAAAGAATCATGAAAATCGGTTCACAAATATCGGAGTTATCGCGTAACATACATACAAAATAAAAACATACAGTCGACTTGAGAACCTCCTCCTTTTTTGAAGTCGGTTAAAAAA